GACACTTAGGCCTGATTAACTCTACAAGTGAGGATCCAGCCCATCCGGATCCAGACACTCTTGATCTGCCGAGTTCGCTTGGTCAGCAAACCTACATTCAAGATATGCGCGAATGGACATGACAATTTGTTTGATTCCACACCAGTGGATAAGCCTAAAGACATCCTGTCTGTAGTTAACCCTTCAGTGGTACTGATTTGCCCCACCCCGCATTTAGCCGCTATTTATGCGCATGTTTAATTTACTTTATTTTCGAGACGTTTTCCGTTTCATTCATACGCGATACGGCAGGCTAGTGTGATTTGATTACGATTGGTAGGCGGATTTTTTGTCACACCAAGCTTGGGCTGGAGAGCGGCGGTGGGGAAGATGTACGTCTCTATGAGAAGGGAAGGGACGGCTTGCTTGAAGCTGACACCCACGCTGGTCATGACAACAAGCTCAGGCCAGAATAAGCAGGAAATTGAAAGAACACACTGTGATCATGCCAAGTATTCGCAAGTGTGAAACAGTTCCGGCCTGATTATGCATACATTGCGCCACATCTCAAAGCTGCAGGATTGGAGAGCAAATGTCCTAAAATAAGTGAGACAAGGAGGATGCGTTATTGGGATTTAAAACGAAGCGAAAAAGCAACCACTGGCACCGCGGATACCCCACAAGATTGTGCAGCTTGACGCCAATGGATAGGGCTGTTCAAATCGCATCTCTCCTCTTCTCTCCTCCTTCCCTTTCTCCTCCCCCGCTTTTCATTAAATTCACATCGTCATAGCACCTGACTGGGTTGCACTTTTGACTATTTCTTCTACTCCCCCCGGCAGTCCTAACAAGATTTGTGTTATTAATAAAAAGATTAATAAACAAACATGCTGCTATAAGGCCACATGATCATAGCTTTCATATAACACACATAATAGACATGATTTCTAAAGCAACACATGCCTTGTTATGTGTTTTGAACGGATGGGTAGCTTTCTGTCTGCTGGAGTAACTCACATTTCGTAAGAGATTGCATAATGAAGATATTCGCTGATTGATCTCATCAGAAGACTACTGCAAATTGCTGTTGTACTGTAACCGTTTGGCAGTCAAGTTGACTCACTCCATAAAGCATCCTCTCCTGCTTCGTGCGAAAATGGGCTAAGATTACGTCCATCATTTAATGGGCATCATCAGAGCTGGAAATCATTCTTGTAAAGTTTTGAGATAACATCAGGTCAAGAAAACTACCCAACTCCATGTTACCTCTTATTTATATATATATATATATATATATATATA